CTTGTGAGGATTATAAGAAGGTAGGTCAGGCTACTTCATCACAACCATTCTGTGCTTGGGCGATTGTCTGAATTGGCTTGCCTCATTTTCATCTGACGCTAATAACCCAAGCACTACTTCATTGTATTCTCTCTTGAGAGCATAGAAAAGTGCAGAAATGCTAGGGCTATGATAAAAACGACTTGATAGCAGAGCTGGTTGCAGTTCACCTGAGCTTCCTTGCAACAAATAACACAGTATCCGCTTGCTTCACATCATTAGTTTATAAGTAATATCAGATTGGTTTGAGTTTATGCAAACACCACGGAGTGTCATTTTGTATATACGTCAAGTTTTCTGTATCCACAGATGGTGCAATCTCACTCGACGGAAGTTGGCTGTGCCATTCAGCAGTGCCAACATCACCTACATCCTAGTGTGCCAGATTTCCGAGTCGCGTGTCTGTACAAATCAAGGTTAGTTAATTGAATTATATCTCTAAATTCGAGATGCTAGCATAACTAATTATTCGCATTCTTCATCATGTAGAAAAGTGTGAAATATCTACCGATAATTTGACTTATGTATTAGTGTCTCACGTACTATTTTTTAGTGGAATGGTACCCCAGATGAAGCCTTACGAAACGGGACAAAGTTGCAGCGCTTGTCCTGAGGGATTTGAGTGTTACCGAAAACAATGCAAAATGTCGGCTCAAGGCCTCTCAACCTCAAAATATACGACGTCTGACACAATGATTACTGATCTTATGGATTCAGACCTCATAACTTCCGAACCCACACAATCTTCCAGCACAGTGTCTTCAAGTTTAGTTTCCACAGCGTTTTCTTCAAAAACACCTGACTTAAATACATCAGTTACCACGGACGATGATCTCACACCACCCACATCCACGAAATCTGCATTCACTGTGCCTTCAACGTCAGTTTACACAACTGCTTCTTTGGAGAGTTCCGTCCCAAAGATCCCCGATCCTACAGGCTCTGGTCTCACACCAACCACATCCACGAAATCTGCCTTCACTGTGCCTTCAACGTTAGTTTCCATAACCTTCGCTTCCAAGCCTTCCATTTTAACTGATTCTCGTTCAACAACTTTTGACCTCACCAAGCCTCAGCCCACTACATCTGCTTCCATTGTTATTTCCACTTTTGCACCTCTGGTTCCTGCATTGCTTCTAATTAAAATCTTTGCATGAATCCAGATATTGCATGCCATAAACCTGTGGAGCACAATATATAGATTTACTGGTAAAGAATAAATTTGCTTTTGCGTAAATAGTCTCATCTCTTTCAAGAATAAAGTGTCCTAATTTTGCCAAGTGTCATGGAGGTTAGTCAAATGACTTAGGTGGAGAGAGTAAAACATTAATCAAACGAATTCGAATTAATCAGTCAAAAGAGCCACATTTGTCTTCTTAAAAGCGGTTGTCGAAACTTGTAGTCCCAATCTCCATGAGAAAACCTGTTAATTTAAGTTGAAAATTGTCGTAATGAACGGTCAGTAAACAAGTTCAGGTCAAGCTCGTGACTGTGCCAATTAATGCTGTGTATTTCCAATGATCACGCCTACACACTCATAAAAAAACAAACTTGGCTGACCTGAAGCCAAAAAAATAGTTGCATCAGCTGTCGCCTTGTAGTGGCTTGTTGTCTAGCCCTACCTTACAACCCTCTAGTTAACAGTCCGTAACAACTCCAGAAGGTTGGAAAAAAAGGCGACAGCGAACACGATCGTTTATTAGCGCCACGTCAGCCAAGTGTGTCTTAGTGTGTGTATGAGTGAACGAATGACAGGCATCTGATGCAGTAACCAATGGAAAGGGGATGAGTCATTGTCATAGTTAGGTCAGTAATCAGGGCTCACTCAGGCGCGATCGCTGTTACTCCACTACAACCTGACCTGTTGCTGTTCTCGCATTGTTACGGGATGTTAATTTGTGGTTATAAGGCAGCACAAGCATATCACTACACGTTCTTAAGGTGATTGTGAATTTCGCAATGCTATACATATTTTAACCATAGGTACTTTTGGTGTAAATGTTAATTCCCCATCGCCAGTTTTCGTCATTGTTTACACCAATGCCCCAAACACCCATGACACCCGACTGACAACCCTATCTGTGTTAATCCGCTTCCATCCATCAATTCAAGGTCACTCTTGTGTTATATGAGTGTTGACATTCTGACACATCACTCGGTCTTTGGCTGAAACGTGGAAAGGTCGGTTCTAGCATTCGACAGTGAATCTGGGTACCGGTTATCCGGGTGGGTGCTGTCTTGGTTACGGGCTGACGGCGCAAATTCGTCGACGTAGGTGAGATGGGTGATAAAGGGATGGAACAATTACTCTGCCGCTGGTGCGAAAATTGTAATGAACTATTTACAAATGAGCGTCAGGGAAGTGCATTCACTAGTTAATCAAATGCCACAGATTGCCAATTACTGTTGGCGTTCGATGTTCACTCGCGCGCTTTGATATAGAGGAATAGATTGGTCAAATGACACTGATTGCTAACCAGTAGAGCTTACTAAGCCGCTACAAAATGACTTTGAACGTGTTGATTAGCATCTCAACATTAAACACTTAACTGTTGCTTACTCTGTGGACAAATCCAAATTATAAAGCACGCACAAATAGACGAAAAAGCATCACATCCAGAAAAGTCTTAACTGAGAAACAATGAAAGACACGAATTTTATACTTGCCTTCTTGTTAGGTTGAAATTACAGTTCATCTTCTCAAGAAAAACGATTACGTTCAATCACAAAGATGTCTACTTCAAGAAAATTTTCCGTATTGGTTTGCCTTTTTAACACCTTAAATGTACTCGAAGTAACAAAATAAACCTCTAAAGAATAGATTTAAAATGAAGAATACTGAGAGTAGGCAAAACGAATTTGCCAGAAAACAAATAACAATAAAATAGCGGATACCTAAACAACCAAGAGAATCTAAAAAGTCTAGTAAACACATCTAAAACCAAACCACGATAAATACACGTGTTATTGCACTATTTTTTTGTAAACAGTGCGTGGTACAGAACATTAGGCCTCCGCAAAATAAGTGTAAGCGTCAAATGAGAGAAGAAAGCTACAAGGACCACTTCAGTGAAGTTACTTAAATCTTGTGGTACAATAACTTGGATCCATCAGAGATTGACATGTAAACTACCGCCATTAGTAGGAGACTGTAATTTGTGATAAAACGTTAAAGTAATTTGCGGTCGTTTTCACGACTTATGCGTCAATTAGATCGCAATAAAAGAACCAACAGCCGTCTAACAAGGTATTGGTAATGATTTAATGTTACCATGACCGCTATGGTCCGTCAAATCAATTTGTTGTGAATTGTGTTTATTCAACATCTTAATCCGATCGATTCGCCTCCGATACAAGGCTCCCCTTCTCGCAGCATGGCGACAACCGCGCAAATCCTCAACCCCCCTTCATTCACACGTATATGTATCTTGGATTAACCTCACACATAGATCTCGATGTTAGCACGGTTATGACTCACACACCCGAGCTATAAATGCACACGCACAAACCCACCACGACACAACTTCGCCAGGACCTCGAATAAACGGTTGACTGTCTGTCCTTCCACCGACTTCGTCTTTGTTGGGGTAACTCGAGGTATTAGTCATCCCCAACAAATTTATTGACCTGAATATGTAAAAAGTGTACAAATACTTAATATTTGCAAGTACCTGAATTAAAATTTATACATGAAGTCCAGTTATCAAATGACGCCATTTCTAATTGGGCATAAACTTTTGAGAAGAAGCCTGCTCTCACAAAAAAGGGTTGTATTCAATATTTTTCAAGTGAACTTAAATGTTACATCGCAAGTGGCCAAACTTAAAAAGGAAACCACTAGCAACCTGCTTTTAAAGTATAGCTAAAAGATTGAGTAGTAAAATTAAACAAAGGACACTATGGTAAAATAAAAAAGTATGCCTTGAAGTTGCAATGAAATCAAGGGATGAGAGCGCATAAAGTTTAAAATAAATCAGGTGATAAATTGCAGCTTAGCTAAATTAAGAATGTTAGATATCCTATGCTTGCTAGTGTTATCATATTAAGGAGTTATTTTGTTGCTTAGACCACATTACAATGAATTCAAGAATCCGTTGCCCGAAATTAAGAGCACAATTTTAGTTTAGTTACATTGAAGTGATGCATATTTATAAAAGTAAACCTTCATATTTTTGTCTAGGCACAAATATAATTACGATAAAGTGTATTATTAAAAACGAAAGAAGGTGCACCGGAATCGATTCGTTTGATTAAATTTTCGAGCGCAAAGATCCATAATAAAAACAGAAGGCCTTAATGAAAAAAAAACTAATTTTTTTATAATGCATAAAACTTTAAGTGTTGTTGTAACAATTACTTCTTTTCTAGTTTAAGTTTTTGTTTAGTGAAGTCGATGATTTAAAATTTGGGCCGGCGCTATAATTGTGGATAGGAAATATTTACGAGATGAAGGGCAAAAAAGCGTTAAGAGATCTGTTTGCCGGAGCCAAAGAATGCTCAACACTTAGATTATCTTCCTTTGAAAAATGTAATGCTTGCATTATTCTCATTTTGTTAGTAAATGAATCTCAAATTGCAGCGCACCTCTCAGAATCCTTAATTTGTCACGCTAGTGATGTAAGAATTTGAAACACGGTAGCATTTTTTAGCTTGGTGACTCGGTTGTCCATGATTCAAGTCCAGCTGCGGGAGCCGATCATTTAAATGTTGGAAAGCGTATTCGCACCACCACTAAAGGTATATTTCCGTCGGTGCATTGGTCTGAAATAACCTACTTTGCATTGGTTTTCATATTTTTGCGATTCATTTTTTGCAGTCAGTCGACGTGGTACCTCGTCCCGCACCCAGGCAAGCTCAAATAGCGATTTCACACCTTTTATTCCTTTCTATTCACGTGGATTTATCTTACGATTAAATTGGTATCCTAGGGCAAAGCCAGGAATCGCTTGCGGTGTCGACGCATGTTAATTGAAAATACGGGTGCTGTAAATGGTAAGCGCTTTGTTATTTAAAAAAAGTGGCAAGCACTGTTTATTCAGTTTATCGTTGTACGTTTTTGCACGAGTTTTGTCACAGTGTCGTCATTTCAGATTCAACACTAGAATTGTCCCTCGTGCCACTCGCAGTTGATCCCTCAAGGAGTGCCTTATCTCCCGCTGGTGAAGAGGAATGTGCAGGTGTGTCAGTAAAAATTTTTGTATTGTTTGCGTTACGTGCTGGACCCAGACTCACTCCGAGCATCGAGTTGATTAGAAAAAAATATACCGAAGTGGTTGTTATCAACGGAAAAGTAAAATGTCTATGTTTTTTTCCTTCGTTTTCAATTCACTCTTAATGTTTAAACTGGCACGAGCGAAACTCGATGTTCCCACCTGCAAGTCTCCCTGTGCCATAATCTATTCTTCAAAATTAGTGTACCTTTGTGTTATTGGGTGCGTTTTACTTTTAGCTCCCTCAACGAAATTCAACCGACCATTGAAGCGAATACATCACGTAAAAGTAGTTCAACGTGCATTTTTGTTTGTAATCTTACTAAATCAGTTATGTACTGTAACTGTGCTTTGATTTTGAAAGGCTGACCGCACGAGGCTTCGGTCGCGCCGAAATTTAATAAATCCCGATCTCACCACCGCTGAATCATTTGTCATCAGTTTGAATGAATCCTCAAAAATATCGTCAGTGGAGCCTGACGATGGTGGTAAAATGGGTAAGAACGTCATATCTGCTAGTGGAACTTTTAATGTCAGTTCTGCGGAGTTGTCATTTGTTTTATATTCATTTTCTCTAGATATTTCAACTATCAGTTTGAAGAAGGCACAAACTAAGGTAGGTTTTTGATTTGTATGAAGTCACGGCTATATTCTATTTATTATTGTCTTACCTCGTGCTATTTTTTAGCGGTCAAAGAGAAAAGTACGCTCCCGCCGTAATCTCGTGTCGTCTACGGAGGATATAAATAATTCAACTTTCGAGATAAGCATTGCTCCAATCGAAAAACAGTCAAGCGATCGGACTGAACGTACGTCGACCTGATTCCAATAACAGACTGCTCTAAAGCATATCAAATAACTACAATTTAGAATCGATAGTAAAGCATGAATCTAAAATCATGATAATAGATTACTTCCGAGTATTTTTTTAACTGCGCATTGATTTCAAGTGTGAACGAACACGAGCGACTTAAATTGACCCATTTGTGCTTACGCTCAGCTGCGCAAAAGGCTTCCAAGTGCAGCCAAAGTTGCCTCATTGCTTGCCAGTTAATCGGAAGCTGTAGATGAGTTGAGTGTATGTGATGTAGAGCTTAACAAAGATGGAGGTGCATATATGCAGGGCTGATTTGAGTTTCATAAAGTGCAGCTACTGTGTGTGGGTACATGTCGGGATGGAGTTTACACTGAAAGACGTAGGTGCACGTGAAAGTTGGAGTAAAATGTCGACAGAGAAGAGAGAAGTAGCCGATGACGTGGAAGATTGAGTGAAGTGACTTTTTGTGAATTGTAGAGTCAGTGATGCTCGACTCAGTGGTGTCGGGTGAGGAGAGGTCGATTGCACAGGTGAGGAATAATGTGTGTGGTGTGTGGAAGTGCGGTGTCACGGTGAGTGTGTGTGTGTGTTTAGTGTATTGAACGTGGGAACATTGTTTTGTGTGTGTGTTGTAGGTGCCGAAACGCAAGATGACATATCGTGGACGTCGAGGCACAAGAAGCAGTGGCGGTGGTAATG